GAATAATACACCCCTATGGAAAAATTTAAAATTCTTGTTGAGAAAAAAAAAAACTCAGATGTCCGAAAATTTCTTTTTTTTCTCATTACGGAATATGTTGGAGTTGATGATGAATTACCATATGAAAGGATTTTGGTGAAAGACGAATTCAATTTTTCCTTGTCTTTCGCTCTTGTGGTTTGTTTCCTTCCTTTTCTTTTCTGGTGCCTTCAAAGTTTTTGCTTTCGACAGTGTTGAAACATCACCCGTGGTCACGGTCTTGTACATGCAATTCAAAACAATTAGTCTCAAGTCCAGTGTCTTTCGGTGTTATTTTGAGTGAGTAATTGGCATCTTCGAAGCGGCCATATCCTTGATCTTATCCCTGAAGTGAGCTCTGTGAAAATGTTTTGACGTGGAAACTGCAAATTTTCCATTCTTGCTACATGTCTTAACCATCATAGACGGCGTTTAATGATCAGCGATTCGATGCTTTATCTGTTGACCTTTTCCAGGACTTTGTTTTTGGTCACATAGAAATTCCATTTGATATTCAAAATTTATCATCTTTTGCTGGTGAAACCTTTTTAATTTTTGGATATCACGACGATATAGAATCCAGATTAAACAACCATCCTGCAATGTTGAAATTACAACAGCGTTATCGACCATAATTTTTGTTGTTAATTTCAGATCTCTGTTGTTGATGATGAGTTTGATTAACTTTCCAAATGCCGCATTTGCAGCTCCAATTCTGTGTTCCACATCCATTTCTTGTTTGATAAAGCTTTGCCTAGATATTGAAAATGCTCTACTTGTTCTAGAGGTGTTGCACCCATGTCAGTATCAAAATCTGTTAAGATGGTGTTTGGGGCTTGCTTTGTAAGATCCTTGGCATCTATGTTTTCTCCCGGGTTCTTCGTTACCTTTTGTTTAAGATCGTTATGATTACTACATCTTTCAATTCAGTTGGAACTTGTTAGGATTCCCACACTTACAGAATGAGGGTGGAATTGCAGGATTGTAGAGGTAAACATCCATGTTTGGTCCGTTCGAAACGGATATTGTCTATGTCTGGGGGTTTCTTGATTTCATTTGCATCAAAGATTGTTGAATTCTTGAAAAGTCGGCCTGATATTCTTCCATTACTGAGGAGGAGGATTTGGATCGTTTCTCAGGAATTACTCAGCTACGGTCGAGTTACTATTTAGTATGGTGAGAAATGTTGCTTCCAGAGTAGGAATATGTGTAACGGATTGGTCAGGATGTTTGAATTATCACCTGCTTGAAAGGATCCATTTGATATTCGTACTGATCCAAATAGTTGTTTCGTTCTTACATAGAAATTTTATGTAGAAAATCATGTGAATCTGCATAGCGCTGAAGTTTGCCAGCTTTTTTGCCATCAAAAGTTCTGCTGTTTTTGTTTTCTTTGACACTCCTGATTAGCTTCTGGAAATGCTTCTTTTTGGAACTGGATCTTTAATCTTGCTCATGAGTCAGACGTGCATTTTTCGCCTCAATCTGATAAGTAATTTCAATATGTTTTCATGAAACCACAATTGAATTTTGGTCTTGAAAAAAATGATGTCAGTGTTTTCTGCTTCTACAACTATGAAACGAATAGTACTCCATTTTTCTTCGACAGATTGGTCATTGGCTGGATTAGATGTAAGTACTTGACTTAATTTGTTTCAAAAGTTCTTGCAGTCTCAGACTTCTTGAGTTTTGAGATGTCATATTTTCTACAGGATTGTGGTTGACGATCCATTTTATTTTTTTAATAACGGTGATTCCCATGTCTATAGTGACAAGGCGATGATCTGTCTATCAGTCATCGACATTAAGACCCACTTTAGTGACGAAGATGACACGGTTGCCCTGTTGCCGTATAATGGCATAGTCCATCAGATGCTAGTGTTAGAATCGGAGATGCATCTATGTAGGCTTGAAGAGAGCATGAATCGGAACTGTGTATTTGTGATGATTAAATTGTTTTCCATGCATAGACATAATAACAGATATCCATTGGAATGGCAATTCCTGATTCTTTCTTTACAGATAATATTTTCCCAGAGTCAATGATCCTTTCTTATCTTTACATTGAAAATACCCGCAATAAGTTTTTATATAAGAAAATTACTTATAGTAAAATGAACAATAATAGAGGGACCTGCGTGTAACGATAAACTACATCTGCGTCCAGGGTAAGACGATAAACTACGCCCAACAGCAAGGCCTCTGATCAGGAGGTTTTGAGGAGAGTGAAACCACCTCTTAATTGCTGGTGTTCTCAGGTCCATCCTGAGCCAGAGTGGTAGCACCTCTTAGGGTCCCGGCTATGGGCAAATAGTTAACCCCGAAACTGAGGTCAAAAAGCATTATAAAAGTGTAAAAATAGCTTTTAAAGCTAGAAATAGTTTGTAAAAATTTTTTACCAGAAATATATTTTTGAAAAAAAAAAAAAATACCAGCAATATGTTTTTGAAAAAAAACAAAACAAAAAAAAAACAAAAAACTTACCAGCAATACATGTTTTAAAATAATATTACCAGCTATAAATTTTTAGGAAAATATTATTACCAGATATAGATTTTTAACAAAACAAAGTGTTACCAGGAAAAAATGTTGTCGTTATTAAATAACCCATTGAGGTTGATATGCCGCAAAACACAACAAACCAAACCAACCAATAATATATATTTATAGGAAAATGGTCAACAATGAATGTTTAAAGTAAACTGACCATGAATGCATATTATAGTAGAAACAATGACAGTGTATTTTATTTGTACTTGAAGGCATTAAAAAGCCATAGATTTTCATAAGCCCTTAAACAAAATCAAGGTACCAACTTACTCTTTCTGAGTATACTCATATTTCGTTCACTTTATCATATTTGTTTCTTGCTGTCATCTGAGTGAAAAGCTATTTCAATCATATTTTTCGTCTCAATATCCATAACCCTTGTATATTCTCTATCTCCAGTCCCGATCTATGAGACGAATCAAAGTTAAAATAGTTTAGGTTGTAAAAATAATTTCAATTTCAAATAGTCAACCCACGTAATTGAATAAACTAGTGCTGAAAGTCTTTGCCATTCAGAAATTATTTTTCATTTTTCTTGTTGCTTCTAATTATTTCAATTACACTGAAAATAGCAACAATTTCACATTACCGAGATATTAATTTAAATGTTTTACTAAAATAATTTTCACACAACTATATATATATAAATATATATATATATATATATATTTATGAAGAAATATAGTTTTAATGTGTACTATATTTATGGGATGAAGTGCTCAATATCAGAGATAGAGTGTATGTAATATAAATATAAAAGTGAATATTGAAGTCAACACTCAGAGGCGACACCCTGTTTCATGTTGTGTATTTAGCCAGCAGTCCCTCTTTTATACATGTTTATAAGAAGGCGACTAACAATAATCTGCAATTAAGCTTTTTACTCAATGTTTCTTCTGTACGTACAATTGTTTACTTTCTGGGGCATCAAGTGTGCTAAAACTGTCCATAAGTTCTGCATGTTAGATTGATTTCGGCTATAATTTTGGGCGTTATCAAGGGTGATTTTATTTTTACTTTTAGCTGAATGCATGGGTTTTGTTATGTATTTATCTAGAGTTATAGGAAGGTTTTAATTTTTAAAACCGGTCAGCACATTGTTGTTGTGCTCATAGTTAATTTTATTGAGTGTTGTTTTTTTTATTATAAGCGCTTCCATTATTTTTAATCTTTTTTACATGTGGATGGATTTATTATGGCTACGTTTTCTACTAGTAAATGGTAGGACATTGTGTGTGTTTAAATGAGTTATAATAGAGCTATGATCGGGAAGTTGTAAAGTCTTTTACAGAGACATGAAGTAGCCTGAACAATGTAATTATTTCTCAGTTTAGTTTGAACAAGAACATATTTTCTTAAGCGGCATTTAAACTCGTAAATACTGTTTGTTTATGTAGTTTTGATATTACAGGCTTGTTGTTACTTTTTATGATAACTTTAGCTGTTTAACATTTTTGTAAGAGATAATAAATTTAACTTTCTTGTTCGCTTTGACTGGGGTACTTTAATTTGTTTATAATTTCGATTTAATATCGATTTTATTTTGGCGGGCAGATTAACTTACATGTTTATCTTAAAATATTGGCATCGTCTAAAGTATGTGACATTATATACGCTGTATCTATTTGCATTTTTCCTGATGTTATTTTGCACGAATATCTTTTAGTTCATGAGTTCAAAGTTACCATTACTGCCTACCCAATAATAGGTGGGATGATAAAATAAACATATATTACACAACATACGCAATTGACCAGCCACTATATATATATATATATATATATATATATATATATATGATCGAGCCAAAACACTGCACACAGGGCCTGAAGATAACGTTTAAGAATTAAATAATTTGTTGCCGTTCAGTTTCAATTATATCTTTATATATATCTACGTTCTATCTTTGATATTAAGAACCTTTCTCTCGCAGATAATATAGCATACGTTTCAACTATATCTTACCACCTATATATATATATATATATATATATATATATATATATATATATATATATATATATATATAATGTGTGTGGGGGTGCGTATTTCCAACATATATATATATATATATATATATATATATATATATATATATATATATATAAATTTCAAGACAATAGAATTTTAATTTAAAACAAAATAAAACAATAGGAAAATCTCATTAGGTAGTGGAACAGATGACATCACCTCTGTCATCTTCCGCTCGAGAGACTTGTGGGTATCAATTTCATGAAATTATCCTACTTCAATAACATGCTAAAATATTTCTATATCTCTTCCAGTAAGACGTTCTGTGTTTACTTCCGTCCCTATTATTAAATCAATGTCCTTCAAAGATATATATATATATATATATATATATATATATATATATAGATAGATAGATAGATGAATAGATAGATAGAGGGAGAGAGAGGGGGAGAGAGAAATCAGTGACAAAAGGCTGTAATGATTGAGAGTGTAAACAGAAGATTGGCTGAAAGTTCGATTATGAATAGCGAAACGAACTGAGATAGATAAATAGATATACGAACAAGCTGTGGCAGAAAAGAACAGATTACGACAGATAGGTAGATAGATAGATAGAACAGATTATGATAGATAAGAACAAACTTAGATAGATAGATAGATAGATAGATAGATAGATAGATAGATAAATTCGTATTGGATATTATTATCTACGTCTGTACTTATATCACTTTAACATGTTTATGATTAAAATATGAAATTGTTAGAATGCAGAAATTAAGAGGGAAGAATTAGAAAGGGTTTTTTTTGATTCAATTTTGTTATTCATAAAGATATAACATTTAAAAAGCAGTTAAACGCAATTAAAATAATATGTCGTATGTGAAATGCCAAAGTCTAATCTACATGTGTGTTTTGCCGTTTATACTCGTGCTTCTCTCCATCATGGCGTGTAAGATTTTGGGAAAAATGATGAAAAAAAAAAACGAATAACATAAGTAAGATTAGCTGTTGAAAAAAAAGGATGACGTTATTTGAAGCAACAAATACGTGGAAAAAAATTGGCAAAACCTGATTATATTAAGAAGAACGAAATGGTAAACTTCGAGAAATAATGATGAGATGTGGTCTCGAGGTATCAACCGTGATCGGAGTCTACAGATGGCGTTGTTCCCAAACAAAGATAGATCAAAGCCTGTGGAAAAGGAGGTGTGTTGAAGAAGAAAAGAAGAAGAAGAAGAAGAAGAAGAAGAATAAGAAGAAGAAGAAGAAGAAGATGATGATGACAATGAAAAAGAAGATGATGATGATGATGATGAAGAAGAAGAAGAAGAAGAAAACTCGAATGAACAATATCACTCCGAATAAGAAATAAGTGAAAATTGTTTCTTTCAGAAATAGAAGAAGAAGAAGAAGAAGAAGAAGAAAGAAGAAAAAAAGAAGAAGATAAGAAGAAGAGTAGCATAAGTAGAATAAGCAGACTCGGAATAATAATAATAATAATAATAATAATAATAATAATAATAATAACAATAACAAGAAGAAGATTCGAATCAGAAGTAGAATCAGTAGACTATTATTATTAATAATAATAATAATAATAATAATAATAATAATAAGAAGAAGAAGAAGAAGAAGAAGAAACCTCGGAATAATAATAAGAAAATTAGGAAGAATAAGAAAAACAAGTTCCGGAATATGAAGAAAAAAATTTTAAAATATAAGGAATATATAAATTCCGAAGGAGAAAGGAAAAATAATATGAAACCGAAAGAAAATGTTGCAATCTTAAGAAAAACAAACTAAAATTAAAGTAAGGAAAATGATAAAAAAAAAAAAAATGATCGACGCACTCCAGGAAAGTTGGTTGGTGAAAAATAATAATGCGAAAAGACATAAAAATGTAAAACTGAAATAAAAGCAGAGAATAAAAATGTATATGGTGTTGTTGTATTGAATGTATTTGAACAGAAAGAAGATTTATTAAACGAAACGAAACGAAAACAATAAGCGGAAAAAAGACAAAATTAGAATAAATTGCGTGAGTATTAGCAATCTGAAGAAGAATCGGATATTTTCGATGATTTAAATTAAGAAAACGTAAAACAATAGCAAATTTATAGAAAGAAATTGAGAAGAATTAACTGAACAAGAATAATTTAAAAGTTAAATGATTTCCATTATTTACATTATTCGGATTATTGTCCTCATCTTTGTCGCCATATTTATTACAACGTTTCGGCCATTGTACGCTCTGGTCTTCTTCAGATGGTTGAAATGTCGAACTTAACCCTTTATTTCACTCAATGGAATAGACTGTTCTAGTTCTACGTGCCATGTTTAATGGATGTCATTTATCAGTTATCTCCTGTTAATTTCCCTCTGAAAGTTCTCCACTGCCTTAACCGGGTATTGAACTCACACCTCTTTGAGTCCTGTCACAGAATCTCAAGGACACATGTGACAATGGATAAAGGCGTTAGTTCGATCCAAAGCACACGCACACAGAAACAGACACATATATGCACGCGGGCTTGTGTGTGCTGTGTGTATGTGTGTGAATATAAATGTGGACACTGGTGTCCAAACCAAGTATCGACAGTTCACTTTTATGCTGCAAAACAAACGTCAACACAAACACGCACACACAGACAGACACACACACACACACACACACACACACACACACACACACACATATATATATATATATATATTGTTTCAACGTCAATAAAACGAAAACCTTTAAACGTCTCATCAGTTGGCGAATCACGGTGTGTTACTAAAGGTTTAGTAACACCGTGATTTCCTACCTGATGAAACGTTTAAAAAAGTTTTTCCTTTTTTTGACGTGGAAACAAAAATGTACAATTTTGTAGTGGATATGTGCCTAATGCATAAGATAAATAAATATTTACGGCTCTACTTTGTGTATTGAGCACTGTTTTAAAATTAATCTTCTGAACGCTGTAATGTCACTGCTCCTCCTTCACACTTTGACATATATATATATATATATATATATATATATATATATATATATATATATATATATATATATATATATATCTATTTAATTGAGTCAATCTGTATCTATAAATGGCATTTTGTTAGTGTGTCTGTGTGTCTGCGTGTTTGTCACCTTTTTACCTCATCCTGAGCAAACCATTCGTCGGATTGTCATGAAAATTCACACACAGATCGAACATTTTCGGCATTTGTACTTGACGCCTTGGGATTTTTCGATTGTTCCTCAGATTTTGGAAAAAATTGATAAAACCGATAGGGGATCGAATATTGTTTCGAAAAAAATTCATCATCTTTTCAGGGATATCCACTAAACTCACGTTAAGCAATGTCCTTACTTATAGTTTTGAGACGCTGTTCTTTGTTTTTAAAAATTGATATTAGCTATCGGAAAATATCGATAAAATCGATCTGTTTGAGACATCCGATTCAATTCCAATGCAGCTGATGTTTGTTTGAAAATCATTTTGAGCATTAGTTTCATCAACAGCTATTAGATGTTGACCTCTTTCTTCAATATCGGTATCAATTATCGGAAAAATTCGAAAAAATCATGCCACTTTGGCTTCCAATTCAAATCCAGTCAAGCTGATTTTTGGCTATATTTTTCGCAAATGACGAAGAATTTCCACCAAAATTACGTTGATCATTGTTTCTATCAAAAGTTATGAGGTGCTGACATTCATTTTCAATATCGATATCAACAACTGAAAAAATCGATACAATCGATCACTTTGGGACATCCGATTCAAGTCCAGTCTAGCTGATTTTTGGCTATATTTTTCGCAAATGGTAAAGAATTTTCAGCAAAATTCCTGTTGACCATAGTATTTACCGACATTATTGAGATGCTGACTTTCGTTTTCAATATCGGGTTCAATTATCGGAAAAAAATCGATGAAATATTACACTTTTTGGACTTCAAATCGATTTTACCTGAATTTGGCGATGTTTTTCGTAACTTGCTTGGGGTTTTGATTAACAAACCGGCTTTAGTCATGAAAAAAAACTTTTGCCCTGTGAGCTCCTTTGTGACCAACAAATACTTAAGGTAAATCGATACAGTCATGTTTTCATCGGAATTTGCGAATACACGAATCAAACGTATGTTCAACTGAGATTACAGACTCTACAGCTGATTTTTATTCGCACAGGCGTGACTATGCTTCACATAGCGGTATCTCATTGGCTGAGTGCAGTGCGCGGTCGCTGATTGGTGTTCGAGACCCTAGGACGCTCTCTGATTGGCAAAACTTATTGGCCAGTAATACTTCGAATTTGAACCTGCTGTGCACAGCTGTGATACCAAGGTCTAACTTCTGCTCCTGTTACGCCGCCACCCGGTTAATACGATAGGCTCCTTCAACTGATCATTTCTCCTACCGCAAGCTGTTTTTTACCTTTTTGTTTTCCGTTTGTCTGTTTAACTAGATTTTTCTAACTAGCATAAACAATTTATTTACTTATTTTACTTAAATATCTACCTTCCCGATTCTGGCTCAAGCTTTGCGATACTAAGTTAGACTTTGTACTCCTGCAATTGAGCAACCCTAATCAACCACTACTAGCATCACTTTTGCCCATGATGCCAAAAAGGAGGGTACATCTTAGCCTTCGGCCTGCAAGAGCGTCCTCTATGAAGGCAAGAAGGGCACGCGAGTCCCAGGAGCTGACTACAATGCGACGATCACAGGTCGCTCAACGCAGCGATCTCACGCAGGCATCACAGTCACAAGCGCAGAGTGCCACCTGCTTGGCTCTAAAAACTGCCTAAAGGTCTTCGTTGCGATCAAGGCTCAAGAATGCACAACGGTCGAGAATGAACACACAGGCTGCAGCAACTGCTTCTAGAACTCGGGTTTCCGAGATTCATCATCAAAGGCTTCTTCGTATCATAAGAAACGCTGCTGCCACTGCAAAACCAAGGGGAATAGAGACACTTGACTGCAGGCGCGGCCGTCAGTCCAGGGAGGCTGCTGCAACAGCGACCGCTAAGGCTGCTGAGACTCGGCTCCATAGGTCTGTTTGAAATGCTATGAATGCTGCCACCACTGCAAGGTCGAGAGCAGCTGAAATATTTGACCACAGGCGCTGCCGTTAATTCAGGGACGCTGCTACAATTGCTAGATCCGAGACAGAGTTGTAGCGAGCAACCCGCAATGCCCGCAACGCTGCAGCGACTTCTGCTGCCAGAAACTCCGAGGGCCCACAGAAAAGGGCAAACAGACTTTCAAGGGCTGCTGCAAACATGGCCGCTTTGCGATTATATCAGACTCCCTAAGCTCACCGCATACGCCTCGGCGGCGACACTTAGCGCCTTGCAGCCGCCCGTGGTGTTACCTGTCCCAGTAGCTCATTTTGGTCTTTCATGGCTTTCAATTACGACCCCGGCATTAACTTAACTACGGGTGACGACATCAGTGTAGGGTCCATGACCTGCGTTTGCCAATTTTGCAACGCCCGCAAATGGGCCGGGGATCCTGTCGGTCTGTACTGCTCCTCCGGCAAAGTTCGACTGCCACTTCTGCATGAATCACCTACCCCGTTGAGGGGACTAATCGCCGGCTCCAATCCCGACTCTGACCACTTCCTTAAAACAATTAGGCAATACAACTCCTTTCAAATGACCTCATTTGGGGCTCAGGTGGTTCGTGAAGAGGGTTGGATGCCCACATTCAAAGAACAGGGGCAGGTATACCACCGCACCGGGTCTCTGCTACCTGAGGAGACCTCTATGTCTAAATTCCTTCAACTGTACTTTATTGCAGACTACAACCTACAGGCCGAAACCTGGATTGGTATTTTGCCGCTGTCGGGAAGATTTCCTTGTAGGGACGTCATACTACTACTACAGGCCACGAGGTTAACAGCTACAGCTCCCTTTCCTTCCTTCAGCATTGTAAATGACGCCGACAAACGGCCTCATGATGAACACAAACGCCGCTACAATGCTCCTGCGTGGAAAGAAGTGGCCGCTATGGGGAGCAAGACCGCACTCGCAATATTGTCCTCAGATCAAGAGGCGGCACTCTTCGCAGGATTTCAGCGACCCGTCGATCATATGACGCATTGCAGTACCCTTTACTTTTCCCTTACGGTGATACTCCGGGTGGCCAACCTACAACGTCTTCCAAAGCCTTATCGTGCAATGCCTTCTACTCATACCGTTTCATGATTATGGGTGGAGAATTCAACCTGCTTCATAGATGCAGGGAGCTTTTCCACCAGTTTTCGGTTGACATGGCCGCTAAGATAGAATCGGAGAGGATTTGTTTTATACTGAATCATCAGTGAGAGCTGCGCTCAGACTCCTACTTACACTTACGCGACAGCCTTCGAAATGAAGTCAATCCCTGCGACCTAGGGAAGCTGTGCATTATACCCTCTACCTACACGGTGGGGGGGGGGGCTCTACATGCAAGAACGCATGCAGGAGGCTATGAGATACGTTAGGAAATATGGGCGGCCAGACTTATTTATAACGTTTACCTGTGACCCCAAATGGGTTGAGATAACCCGTGAACTCCTCCCTGGACAGGAGTACACTCATAGTCATGACATTACCTTACTTATGGACTTAATAGTGAAGGGGCGACTCCTACATTGAAAACGCAACCTCTGTTTTACATTACCAGAATTAAAAATCTTGACCGATTATGAACAGGTGGCAGTCTTCGGGTAAGCACGGAGCAGCAACACAGCAGCCACCTATTGCAACCAGTTGCTCTTGATCTCATTGATTTTGCTACCAGTGAGATTCACGGCCTATCAGTGAGCTCAACAACTGCGGATACGTGTGTAAGTTCAATAATTTAAACCCCAAAGCAATTTAACTACATAAAACCCAGAGCAACGTCGGACTTTACTGCTAGTATATCATAAATCAAATTCTTACCCCAGCAAATGACCTACAAATTCAAGGTATTTATTTTGTAACAAGTATTTATATACAAGAACAAAAATGTTATTTTCTTTTTAAAATTTTTAAATTTAAGAAAGCTCATGAATTTTCATCAGGTTGGTCGAAATGTCAGGTAGGTTATGGAGGGTGGGAAGTGATACAATTAAATGTCGAATAAATGAAAACTTATTGCATTATTCCTCAACATTCACATAAATGAATCAAAACATCCTATCATTTAGTTCCTTTCTATGCACATGAATTCATAAACTCCTAAACACATGAATAAGGAAAAAAAATGTCACGCATTTTGGCAAGGCAAACAAAATATGAAATGTTCTTCCGCGCCAAAAATATGAAATGTTCTTCATCACTACAACACCCTAAGTAAACACGAACGGAGTGATTGAAGAAATTAAGAAACAACTTAACAACTAAACAATTTACAAAAAAAAAATAAATACGTTGATTTCTAAAAAAAAATGGTCTAAAATTGGCGGAAAGTAATTAATTACAAATTTATCGAAGTTCAGACCATAGAAAACACAAGAAGCCGGTTTAAATTTGACGAAAAATCATATTACGGATTTCATTCCCTCACGCACCCCCCTCTTCCAAAAAAAATGAAACCACAATTCTCCGAAGATATATAAAAGTCCTGAAAGTAATATAGAACAGGAAAAGCAATCATATATCTACTCCCGACAAAGGCGATGGAATTCTAATTACCATTATTAACAAAAAAGGTGACTTATTTGGACTGTTAACCTCATCGTCATATTCACATCTCGGCCGTTGTATGCTCCGGCCTTCTTCAGGTGATTGGAGTATAGAACCGAACCCGTTATTTCGTCCACCGGGGTAGATTGCTCTAGATCCACGTGACATGCCTCTTCCGGACGTCTCAGTTATCTCCCTTTAGCACAAGTCTCCACGGTTGGTTCCCCACTGCTGTTGTCTAGTATTGAATTCACAACACTTTGGATCGAATTGAATCTAACTAACATCTGTATTCATTGGGACACGTGTCCATCCCATGTATGAATTGTTGGGACGTATTGTCTCATAAACCCATTTTTACCAGTGCTCATATTGCAAACTTTGTTATTATTATCGCATTTTTTACCAGAGCTTATATTGCAATTTTTGTGTTGACATTCATTGCTTTTCTCTAGCACTCCTTATTACTGGTTCCCATATTATATTCATATCTAGGCTTGGACGGCTCAGGATTTTTTTGTGGCATAGCATGTGCTGATTCCTTAAGGCGACACCTCCTCGATAATATTTCCGAAAAAATAAATGAATTTTCTACTTTATGTGCTTATCAGAAGGAAGACGTTCATGGCCATCCACAGTTACTTGTTCCATGCCGCTCTTAATAAATGTTGTCATGTTATTCCTTCTCCCAAAACCTGTTCTGTCATCCATTTACTCAAGCCCATCAATTATGTTATGCACTGTTTTCCTTCCTACCTCTTTCCATCAATCTGTCTTGTTACTCTCGATTTGTCATCCTTACTTCATCATGATGTTAAACACAATTGTCAAATGTCTCTTACTGATGTTAAGTATAAAGTTTATTTTCTTTCCATTTTCTCTAAAGCTTCGTCGTTGTTCACATGTTTACTTCAGGTTATGGTAAGCAGTTTTCTGTAGAATCACATTACTGTTGCTTCAATAATTTTCTTCATCTTTGAAGAGATTGTTCAGCATTCACTACCAGGAGGAGGAATGATATTACCTAACATTTCAGTGATCTTTTCTTTGTTTCTGTTACTTCAAGTCTTTTCTTCATCTTTGAGGAGATTGTACAGCATTCACTGACATAGAGGAGGAGTGAAATTACATAACAGTTCAGTAGATTTTTCTTTCTGTTGCTTTAAGTCTTTTCAAGTCCATTGCTATCGAAGATGGAAAAACATTGGTGATTACATGACACACTTTTATGATTTTATCTGTAGAAATTAATAATATATATATATATATATATATATATATATATATATATATATATATATATATATATATATATATATATATATATATATATATTATGTTGGCATAATTATCAGGGCGTTTTTTTCGAGGCGAGTTATTTGTTAATAAAAATTGCTGTTTTGTTTACTTTTTTAATAAAATATTATTTCATTTTTAAGTTAAAGAAATGCTTGTCGATAATCAAAAATATTATTGTTATGTTATTTTTATGGTTCTTTTTCATAATATTGTTTAAAAAACCCATGATGATCATGCACTAAACCAATTATATACACACACACACACACACACACACACACACACACACACACACACACACACATATATATATATATATATATATACTAGGTGTAACAGCATAATTGTCCATTCAACAAAATGTTTAATATCTAAACTAATTGATTTACTTTTTTCGGGTTTTAAAATAAGAGGTTTAGTTATCTTGACACCAACTGGCGTAAGCATAAATGAAAAGCACTTTGGGTTATTCAACTAGAAAGAGAACAGGTTAAAATCATTTTGTATCAGTCTCATTCTATTCGCAACTGAACAATGGTGAGAGGAAAAAGATCATTCCGGTGTTCGGTAATAGCTTTAAAATGCATACTCTGGCTTCCTTAATCAAAGTCTATCCAAGAAGCATCAAGCCAACGGCGAATAAGTTTAAAAGAGGGAACAGTAGAGAGAAAATGGACCAGGAGGTCACAACAGGAAGAAGAATCATCATTTCAAATAGTAAAGATCCAACTCAATCCATAAGATGTGTGGTGTGTGAAAGAGGAGTTTCAGCGATGGCTGATCGAAAAGCATTGAAAAAAAAAACACGAAAAAATAAATTGTACGTGAAACCATTGAGGTAAGATTTTACTCCAGGACAGAAAGTTAAAAGTTTGGAAAAGACGAAGATATTCTTAAATATGTGGGAAAATGAACCTGAATGACACACACACACACACACACACACACACACACACACACACACACACATATATATATATATATATATATATATATATATACATATATATATATATATATATATATATATATATATATATATATATATATATATATATATATATATATATATATATATATATATATATATATATACACATATATATACACATATATATATACATATATATACACACATATATATATATATACATATATATATATATATATATACATATATATACATATATATATATAGAGAGATATATACATATATATATATATATATACATATATATATATATATATATATATATATATATATATATATATATATATATATATATATATATATGAAATTTAATTCAATCCTTCAAGCTTAGAGAGTAAATATAAATTCTTATTGCTTGCAGAAATGTCCAGTAGTTTTATAAAATAATTTAATTATTTCTATGATACAACGGTTCAGAAGTTAATCCAACAATTTTGCTGTCACAGCCGGTAAATCTGTCTATGTCTGTCTGTCATTATTATTAGTAGTATTGTCCTGCTTTATCATGGCGATGAGTTCTTATCTTGAACATGTACAACTATGATTTCGTAATGGATTCATAGAATCGAAAGCGTCTTCTTAAATATATAAGCCGTAATTAAGGAGAAAATTTATTATTATTATTAAAAATAAGCATAACTCACGTGAAATAAAATATATTTCACCACAGGAGACTGTATTTTACAATGCGTTTAATATATTTTATTTCATATGCACGTAAAATAATATAAATTCTTTATTTTTAAAGTTTTACACCCCAAGTAAGGTGGGTGTGCCACTAGGACGCAGGAGTTTAAAGAGAGTAGGAGCAAGTTAAAGAGGCGTGACAGAGGAAAGAATGAAGAGAATGACGGGGAATTACATCAAGGAGTCTAAAGATGTCGATTGATATTGCATTTGAATAATTGAAGATTATGGCTATCAGAGAAGAAAATATGAGGAAGGGAGTACCACAGACGGGAGTTCCATACACATGGAAACATTGGAGTAGAAGAGTCGGCTTGATTTAACAGTGTCGACAGTGAAAAGATGGGACTGAGATGGCTACCTAGTAGCACGTTTAAATTCACACAGTTTGTGAACCAGAGAAAGTAGCTCGTCGGAGCAGTTATCATGAAAGTATTTGTAGAAAAGACAGAGGGAAGCGAGGACACGTCTGTGACAAAGTGACTGAAGACGAGAAGCCAGATCAGGACCAATCACATTGCATATCGTCTCTGTATTTTGCCAAGGACGTTGAGAGGAACAGCGCGGGCGCCAGGCC